TGACGTTTCGGAAGGGTCTAGGCCCGAAACGTCAGCTTTCCTGCTCCTCTGATGCTGCTTGGCCTGCTGTGTTCATCCAGCCCTACACCTTGTTATCTCAGATTCTCCAGCATCTGCAGTTCCTACTATCTCTGAATGCAAAGTATGGTGCTTGGTTATACTGACCCACACATATCTCTGGTACACTGGTTAATTATATTGACCCGCACAGATGTACAAAGTATGATACTGAGTCATACTGACTTCTGCATATCCAGGTATATATGGTATCATCATGAGTTAGATTAAAATGCACAGATCCAGTTGTACACAGTATCATGCTGGAAGTTTTATATTCTCACCATCCAGCCCTGTGAAGAATGGTCACTTGGAAGAGGCACCTGTAAAACATACACCAATGTGAATTACTAGTCTTGGAAAAACGGAGGAGGGGTAAAATTGAAGAGTCCAGTGTAGGACCTTTGTTTTTAAATTTCTGATTTGTTTTAAATATGACGAGTCTAAGAAGTGATTGTGTCTACCAATAGCTTGTTAGCAATATTGTTCTCCTCTCACTATTGATGAAATGCAAGGGTTGGGAACCCCAGTACTGGAGACTGGGACCACTTGCACTGCATTGAACTGAACTGAACTACTTGGGTCATTTCTGATGCTTGCCTGAAGAAATACTGAAGCAGATTGTCCCCAGTAATGAACTGAAGAACAGGAATATAAGAGTTTATAATCATACTTCACTCCAGTTCCTTTGTAACATGGTTCTGCCATTGATGTAATTCCATCTTGTTATCTGTGAGTCATTTTGTGATGGGTTACTATTTCTGTGTCATCATATTATGTGAAATGAGGCGACATGAGCTGGCCTTGTGTCAGAAATTCTGGTTTTATTGTACATATTTTCTTGACTTTATTGCATATTATTTAGTCTCAGTTCATGCATAATATTAGTGTGGATATCAAGCAGTTGGCTGCATTCTTTATTAGCTTTTAATTTCTCAGCTGTCCCCCGCCCTGACCCCATCTAATCTAGCCTGTTATTGCCCTATCTGAAATATACCATTCAGTAATACCTTCATGTTAGGATGAAATCAATTCATTGTAAATATTTATTGTTAGTACTGATCTGTTTCTAAGGCTGTGATCCTTCACAGTACTTTTCTTCAATGGTATTACATATTAAGGAATCTTCAGAGAGAGAGAACGTGCGCATGATGAGTTAGCATCAGGGAGCACAGCATGAGTTTGAGATATTTAGTTTTCGGTGTACGAGGAGCACAGTAATTCTGTGACCCAGGTTTTATTATTTTCTTTGGCTTATTGATTTGTTAATAGGATGTGCCTCTTGCTGTACTCTATGCATTTGCTGCAACTAATATTCTCTAGATAGTCACTGCTGTTTGTCTATTAGGTCAGTGCCCTCAGGAGTGTTTTGATACTTGCAAGGGAACACCCCCCCTTCAGAGAGGTCTGACCAGCACCAGTTAAAGATGCAAGGCTTTGAAGGCTGCATCGAGCGTTGTCTAATTCAACTTCATCAACATTTCGATTCAAGAGCACCATGAGCGAGTAATCTTTCTGTATGATCTGATCCAACAACCCTGTTCTAGCTATCACTTTTTGCCATGTGTAGAGCGCCCTCATGTGGATTGAAAGCCAATGGAGAGTTGTCCGACAGTGGTCACGCACCCATTTTCATTGACTGGTCTAGAAAGAAAGAAGATAAAAGTAAAGGGGGTTTGGCCACAGAATTTAAAAGAATGAGGCTAATAAATCTTGCAGCCATCTGCATTTCACTATCTTGTTCCTGAAGTTTCCCATCATCAAATGCAATGGTAGAATTATACACCGTGCTATTTGCAGAATTATCAGTCATTGCACTGCAAGCCAAGTTGCTCCAGAGAAACTCTACCTGAACATCTGCACTGGTCATGCACAATCTTTTCCCTTTTCCTGGCACAGCTAAGGAATCAAAACTCTAAAAGATTGTAACACTGGGCTACTGCTGGACAGATAAGGTCCTCTATAAAGATGTTCTGAGTTTTTTTAAAGCTGGTCTTTTTGACTATGTTTTTCAGTATGGGGTAATTGTGTACATTCTGGATTGATGCTGAAACCTGTACTAAATCCTTTCAATAAATCTAGCAACTGGAGTCTGTGTGAAGTGTCTCTTTGTATTTTGGGGAAGCTCCATATTTCTGAGGAGCTAGTATTTTGTGGAAAACATATAAAGGGGAGCAGTGGTTCACCTGGAAAGCAAGCCAGTGAACATTGTGGAAAATGCTAATATAGACATCTCAGCAGTATGATTGTGAGGTAAGGCAGAGCAGATTATCAGAAAATTTACTAAAATTTGTAAAGCAGAAACACTCAACGCATTTATGTACATATTTTAGTCGCCAAAAGAAATCTCTTCTGAAATTGTTGACTTATGCACTTCTCTCAACAACATCTCGTTCATTGTCCCTTTGCCTGTATCTGTGTGACTTGAGGTCAAGGGTTATTACAGCAGAACCCTATACTGTGTTCATCAAAAGTTTGAATACAGCAAGAGTTTCTGGATTCAGTTTAAGACTAGAAAACCCATTAGAGCTTCTGGCCGACATAGAGGTTTACAAGTGTTTACCCCTGTCCTTGGCATGTTTGCAGAAACTAGGAAGGGAGCACTGCAGTGCTGGAGGTGCTGTCTTTATTGAGACATTAAACCATGGTTTGTCTTTGGGTGCTGATCTCCTAGCACTTAGAGGAGGAGTATTGGTGTACTGCCCATAGATCCTATATTTATGTCCCAAGCAACATCACTAAAATCAATTTAGTTGATCTCAGCCCTGAGAATTTGCAAAATGGTTGCCACATTTACTGGCTACTCAGTGATTTAATTGTACATAAACATTTCTGGGACACTAATGAAGTGCATATGTTCCTCTACACATTTACAAGCTCAACTTCAAAAGTGACAATGGAACTACATAAGTGGAGAAGGTGCGTTTCTGTTCTCATCAGAAAGGTGATCTTGGGCTGTGCATTGTGCTCACAGAGTGAACCACTCTCCAGGTGGATTGAGAAGTGAATCAGTGGACAGAGGCTCGGAATTAGTGTTAAAAGTCTGAGGGAAGGAGTGAAGGAATGATTCTATTGCAGTTGGATTTTAGAATGCAGAAAATGTTCTCACAAGGATCTGGTGAAGTTAAATCAGTCTTGGCATTTAAGAGTAGTGGATAGAAATGACAAATATTAGAAATTTGGGATTGAGTCATGGATTGGGATCACGGTGAATTGCTGCAACGGGAGTCAGCACCAGCATGGCTGAGTAAAATGTCATTTCTGTCATTTTTCTAATGATGTAATTGAACTTGCTAATATAATGGTGAAGTTGAGTAATAGCATTTTGGAGAGATGGTGGATGTTATTTGTAAACAAGCTTTGCATTTTACCTATTTTACTATTTCTGTTTCAGGCCATCAATGCAATCACAGCAGTCCTTTGGGCCCTCTCCCTCTCCAGTGAATAAAATGGCCACCATGGGGAACAAGTTGCCATCTGTCAGCCAGCTCATCAGCCCACAGCGCAATGCACTCACACAAGCCCCCATGCCCCCAGGAAGTATGGGTAAGGTCCATGAGCATTATTCTCTTATCTGGAGAAACTATTCTGATTCCTTTCTCGCATCCTGGGCACGTGCCTGTGTGATGGGTGATTTTTCTCAAACTGTCACAGCCTTTCTTTCTTCATTCGCAATACTTGATCATTATGCAGGATGTTTGTTCCCTTGATTGCCAAGAATCTATCTACTTCTACCTTAAAATATTCAAAGATTCTGCTTCCATTGCCTTTTCAAGAAGAGTGTTTCAAAGCTTCGTGACCCTCTGGGAAAAATACTTCTCCTCTCATCTGTCTTAAATGGGCAATTCCATATTTTTAAATGGTCCTGAACTAAGTTGCTTCCGGATGGAGAGGGATCTGAACTAATTTGTCAGTTGGTGCTCCAGGCCATATTTGTTGTATAGGCATACAATGTGCGATGCTGAGGCTGCAAGGACTGAGATTGAGTGGGTTATCTCGAGCATAAAGCTGCTTGGGAGCTGGATGAGGGATGCTTCTGATCAGTTCTTTTGTTTCCTCAGTTCCTCAGATGATGAATGTTCCAATGCAGATGAATGGAGACATGAACGGGTTGAGTCCCACGCAGGGATTGCCTTCACCAATGGCATCGACTTCACATTGCACACCGCCTCCGCCTTACCCGTCTGACAACAGTATCTCCAGGTCAGAGGTGGTGATTAGATTACTCACTTTATTTGTAGAATTAGTTTATGTAAAGTGGACCCTTTTCATAGGGCCATGAAGCATTCCCTGTTTATGAAATTTCAGATAATCAATCTGTTTGCCAATTGGATTAATCCCACAGTAGGACCTGAAAATTGATTTAGTTTATACTGTAATAAGCTCTGGTTCATCTGATAAACATCACAAACCAATGTATTGAGTTTTCACTGGCCATGAGCCTTTATTTCCTTCAAAAGCCCACGATCCTGAGTTTGCAAGGTATTCAAACAAGAGACCACACCAAATGTGGTCGCTGAGCCAAGATAAAACAGTTCACAGGCCAGGATTAAAGAGAGAGGAATTCAGTCACTAGAAGGGTTTAAAATTGGTAAGGAGGTGGTATTGGATAGGTTGTCTGCACCTACAGTTGACAAGGCACCAAGGATAAATGGGATGAATCCCAGAATATTGAGGGATGTGAGAAATTGCTGAGGCACTGGCTGAAGTGTTTTAGTTTTGTTCAGACTCAGTGGTGCCAGAGGATTGGAGTATTGCAAACGTTATGCCTTTTGTCCAAAAAAAGGTGTAAGGAAAAGCCTAGCAACTCTGGACCAGCTGGTTTAACTTTGGTTGGGAAACTTCTGGAAACAATAATTTAGGACAAAATTAATAGTCACAATGAAAAATGCAGGTTAATTAAGATTTCTTAAGGAAAAATTTGTGTTTAGTTAATTTTCTGGAGTTTTTATGATGCAGTAACAGAGAGGTTTGACGAGGGTAGCACTGTTGATGTAGCGTACAGAAACTTCCAGAAAGCATTTAATATGGTGCCATGCAACAGACTTGAGCAAATGGAATAAAAGAGACAGTAGTAACATAAATACAGGATTTGCTGAGTGATAGGAGACAGGGTAATAGTTAATGGATATTATTCAGTCTGGGGCACACTTTGGATTTGAGTTTCCTGGGAATCAATGTTAAGATCCTTGCTTTTCATGATCTATATTAATGATCTAGACCTAAAGCGCACAATTTCAAAAGTAACAGATGTTGGAATCATTGTAAACCATGTGGAGGATAGTGTCAGCTTCCAAAAGATATAGATACGTTATCAAACTTGCATTAGGCACTAGTTCAGCCTCGACTGGAGTACTGCATCCGGTTCTGGATATCACACTTTGGGAAGAATGTGAAAGCATAAGAGTACAGAAGACGTTTGAGAATGGGTTTAGGGATAAGAAATTTAGGTCATGAAGATAGATTGGTGAAGCTACGGCTGTTCACCTTGGAGAAGAGAAAGTTGAGAGGGGATCTGATAGAATTATTCAAAATCATGAGGCATCTAGATTGAGTGAATAGGCTGAATATATTTCTAACTCTTGAAAAGGTTGAGAATAAGAGACCCTAGATTTAAAGTAGTAAAAAGAAGCAAAAATGATTCGAAGAAAAATTATCTCATCTTACACCTATGCCCTCTAGTTTTGGGCCACCCTCCCACCCTGGGGGGAAAAAACCTTGACTATTCACCCTTCCATGTCCCTCGTGATGTTATAAACCTCTGTAAGGTCACCCCTCAGCCTCCAACACACCATCTATTCTCACTGCTGTTACCCAGTGTTGAATGAATCCCAATCCAGCAAGGTAGCCTTTAAGTCGTAAACAAGCCTCTTCCCATTGAGTCTCCTTAGATCACATGCATCCATACTGTAAATGCACAAATCAGCCCCTCAACCCCATACTCCAGAAAGATATTTAATTTATGAAATGATATTCTTTGACTTGCTATGAGGTCATTCTCAATATTATTCCTATCCATTTAACTTGCAATCTATTCATGACTGTAATGCCAGAGTGAGAGACTTGGGTCTAAAGTGAATGGCTCCACTGTAAATGAACCGATTTCAAAATTTAAGTCATGAAAAATACCCGAGTACTTACAGGTATCTTTCCAGTTTTAATGGTGCATGTTAGTTCTTTGCAGGAAGGTTTTGAGGGAAGGGTGCAGGACTGTTCTATACAGATTAGGAGGCTGCAGAGTTGCTGGGCTGTGCGGTGTTAACTGATTTAAACTGAGACACAGTTAGGACTCTACAATCTAATTACTCTTGCGCTGAGAGAAAGGAAGAATGAGGCTCTTCCATTGGCAAACTGGAGCTCCTGCTAGAAATGAGAACTGTTCTGCATCAATTGTGATTCTCCCAAAGTTAAATAGCATGCTGCTCCCTTGCCTTTGAATTGAAAGATTGTGGGTTCAAGCTCTACTCCAGGACCCTGAGCACATACGGGGAGTTGGTGGTATTGTGGTATTGTTACTAGATTTTTAAAAATTAATTGATGGGATGTGGGTATCACTGGTTAGGCCACAATGTATTGCCCAGAGAGTGGTTAGAAGTCCAACTATATTGCTGTGGATCTGGAGTCCCGTGTAGGCTAGACCAGATAAGGACGTCAAATTTCCTTCCCACATTAGTAAACCACATAGAGTTTCTACAACAGTTGGCAGTAGTTATATGATCATCATTAGCTAGGTTTTTTCATTCTAGATTGTTATTGAATTCAAATTTCACCATATGCCATTGAACCCATGTCCCTAGACATTAGGGCCTAGTCCATTGGCATAACTACTACTCCTCCACCTCCCCAGTAATTCAGAGACCGAGCTCCAGGGCATCTCTGCAGGAGTTCCTCAGGGTCATGTTCTCGGCCAAACCTTCTTCAGCTGCTTTACCGATGACCTTTCCTCCATCATAAGATCAGAAGTGGGTTTGAACAATGATCAGCACCATTCATGACCCTTCAGGTACTGAAGAGGTCCATGTATAAATGCAGCAAATCGTGGACAATGTTCAGGCTTGGATTCATGAGGGGCGAGTTACATTTGTGCTACAAAAGTTTCTGTCAATGACAATCTCCAAAAAGAGAAAATCTAACTATCACCCCTTCACATTCAAAGGCATTGCCTTTACTAAATCCCATACCATCAACACCTTGGAGGTATCTATTGACCAGAAACTGAACTACCCATTTAAATACTGAGGGTACAAGAGAAGATCAGAGGCTGTGAATACCGTGGCATATAATTCACTTCCTGACTCCCCAAAGCCTGTCCAACATCTAGATGCCACATGTCAGGCATGTGATAGAATATTTCCCATTATCTTCGACGAGTACAACTCCAACAACAGGCAAAAAAATTTATATGATCCAGTGTAAAGCAAACCCCTGGGAAACATAGAAAACAGAAGGAGTCTGAACACCATACTCCTGTTCTTTCCCACTGAAACTGCCTACCACATATCCCAAGAAAATCCCTTTGTTCTGGACCCTGGTTTGATTTGCACTTGATCAAACACCTTCAATGTTCGCTCCCTCCACTAGTGACGTGCAGGGTCAGCAGTGTGTATTATCTACAAGATTTCCTGCTGCAACTCAAGGCTCCTGCAACAGCACCTTCCAAACTCTTAACCTTTACCAGAAGGACAAGGACATCAGATACATGGGCACACAAGCACCTGCAAATTCCATTCCAAGTCACATATCATACTGACATGGAACTATATCTCTGGGTCAAAATTCTGGAACCCCCTCCCTAACAGCACTGTTGGTATCCGTACGGCCCGAGGAATGCAATAATTCAAGAAGACAGCCCACTAGCACCTTCTCAGGCCAATTAGCGATAGTTAGTAAATTCTAACCAAGTCACCATTGCTCATATCTCATGAAATAATTTTCAAAAAAAACTTTTTGCTGATGATCCCAATGTAGTACTGCTGGATTGCTATATTATCACAAATGAGATGTTAAACCTCAGTTGAGTTTACCACATCCCAGGGCACAATTTTGGGCATGAGCAATGGAGTGCTTCCTGGTATCTTGGCCAATATTTAACACAATCAGTATGACAGATGATTTGATTATTCACACATTGCTCTTTGGGTTTACAAAAATTGTTTTTGCACTGATTTGTTTGTATCATAATTGCACAAAGAAGTTTTTGTTTCTCACAGTATGCATCTGCACGTTGTTTGAGAAAGTTGTGATCTTGAACAAAGAGCAGCACTGATCCTTCGTCCCCTCTATTTGCAGCTTTCTGACGAGAGCCGGCTGTGCGTCGTGTTTGGAGTATTTCACCACCCAGGGATTGATGAACATTTACCAGATCGAGCATTTTACCATGGATGTAAGTAGTTTCTACTTCCCACTCAGGTCCCTGACCCCTGTCGATTTCCCTCATCTCTTTATTAAAACCATCATGTAGATGGAAACACCAAAGCATGCTCAATATGGGTCTCTACATAGTCCTCAGTGCCATGAAATTTGGGTGAAAAGATAATAGAGATACTTAATTAAGCCTTAAAGTCATTCACTTCTCTATATCTGCAACTTGAGGAAAGTGAATACAGTTCAGGCATGTGATTGCTTCGGGACCTTGTCTCATCTAACCTCTTTAAATGAATGGCCAGTAATTGTGTTCACTGTCTCTCGTGCCCACACACCAAAACTGGACCAGAAACAGGAAAACCTGTCCTGCTGATTTTAGTTACCCTTGGAAGAGGTAGAGAATGACTGATGTTTGTCTTTCAGTATATTCTGTGGCTGTAAAGGCCTTATCCCAGTGATAAAAGCAGGTGTGTTTTTGAGAGAATAGAAATGCTGGGGAAAATTTCAGAAGGATTGGGTGTTTCCTGGTCCCTTAACTTAATCTCTAGGTGCGTGGTCAGTGATACAGAGCTTATTGTAAAGGTGACATCAGTACTCAAGACTCAGGAAAAGTTATGAAACTAAATTTAATCAGTGGCACCATTTGTGGTGTTAATAAAGGTGAGTATGAAGATGTTGGGTTCTTGTGAGAACCCAACTGGTTCTTTAAGGAAGGAAGGACAGTCCTGAATGAAATGGGGGTCGTGTTTAGCATATCTAGAGTTAAGCAATGAACAGTATCACTCAGGATTAAACTCAATAAAAGAATGGATCAGAATTGGCTTTTCTCAAAGTCTGAAATTTTGCATAGTTTTCTAGGGAATAATTTGATAAATTTGTGCTCCCAATTGAAAGCATAAATGGAAAATCTCAGAGGTCATTCTGCGAAGTTTCCAATTTATGTTTTTGTCACATGAAATTGCATTTCAGCAGTGTGAACTCATAAAAGTCATCAGTGATTTGCTGCCTCCGTGACCAAAACCCTTTTTTTAAAATCTTATCAGGATCTCATCAGCCTGAAGATTCCTGAGCAGTATCGACACGCCATCTGGAAAGGAATACTGGACCACAGACAGAGCCTTGATTTCTCAACCCCTCCCCAACTACTGCGGAACACAAGCAGTGCCTCTACTGCCAGTATGGGCTCCCAGAATGAGACACGTGGTGAACGGGTAATTGATGCAGTCCGTTTCACCCTGCGCCAGACCATCTCCTTCCCTCCCCGCGATGATTGGAATGATTTTGGGTTTGACGTGGATGGACGCCGCAGCAAGCAGCGGATCAAGGAGGAAGGGGAGTGAAGTGGTCTGGAACGACAAATGCATCAAACCACAAAAGACAATGTTCCAAAAATATCGACTGATGACAACAATACGAGGGGACACTGTCAGAACAAAGTATTTACACTTTGAGTATTCTTACTCGTATTCAAATTGGTTGCACTTATCCAACTTTATTTTGTCTTTATTTTACTTTTTTTGTTGTCTTAAGCCCAACTGCCCATATATGGTAGCTGTATCAAAGCTTATAGGGTGCTTGAGGGGCTATGTGGGATTTGTAACTGCCATATTTATGCATCTGTTCCTGTTTAGAGAGGATCATTCTAATCAATGGTATTGTTCGTGCATCAAAACTGCAATTGCGTAAAGGTGTGCGAGTGCAAATAGATACAGACTGAGCATGTGAGTGAGGAAGGCAGATTGAATGGAGTTGTCGGGCCTCCTTCCTCACTCTATCCTTGGTTATCTTGCACTTCAAAAATGACATTTAATATTTCACAGCCTGGGCTGAGGTCAGGAGTGCTGCAAAAGTACTTACAGACACTGGAACAGTGGCTGGCAACCTCTATGAGGAAGGGGAGCAATCAGTGCTATTGTTTGTTTTCTTTTAGTCATGGTGACAGAGCCGTGTAGTCTGTCACATGAATTCAACTCCTGGAAATGGGTCAAGGAACCTTTTCTGAGATTCAGTACTGCAAAAGTAGTTTTGTCTCTTAAAACATTTGCTAGCAAATGTGGCATTTTCCTGTTCCTGCTTACCTATGATGCGTCAAGGTGGCTGAGTGGTGCGCCTCTCCCAGTAGTGATTCCAGGAAGCACTTGATTATGACTGGGCTTGTGTAAGCTCAGTACTTGCAGGACAAGTAGAACTGCAAATGTGATCTCCTGTTGCTGACGTGTTCAGGATCATAGAAACCACATGTCACTGCTGAATGAATGCAGCTGTCAGTTAGCTAAAGTTGGGATGTCAACCCTTTCACGTACAAGCTGTGATGTATTAGCTCATGAACACAGCCTTGACTGACAATTATATTCTGAGGTTCGCTTCGAATTTAAAGGGGCAAAGGGGAGAAAGAACTGCTTCACGACAATCACTGAAAGCAAATTTTATAGTGTTTCAGAGTTTTATACTGAGATCCATCTCAACTTTGTGCATTTCATTTGCAGGATGTTGCATGGTGTGAAACTACTGATCCTGGTGGTGCTGGCCACGTTCTGAGGGAATGCTGGATTTGGTTAGTTTTTATCTCCTCCTCAGGGTGAGGGGGAGACCATTCAGCAATGTCAGTTGCATGGGACATGGGCTTCAATCTGGACCTGAAGCCAGTAAACTGTTCTGGATAGTAGTGCCATGATAAATGGGCTCTGTGATTCAATGGCAGCCAGAGCTCCAGATGGAAGAGCTATCAGTGACTATTAGTTTGTATCATTGTCACCCAGTTAAAGAAGCAGCATAGACCAGCCCAGACAGCTGTTGTTTAGTGGAAGGGGATGGGAAAAAGTAGGAGGAATTGAGTTTGACCGAGAGCACCACTTGTATCATGACTTTAGCACGCTGCAGCATTCTGTTTCTCTACTTGAATCTGGTTCTGGGGTAGCCTGTGTGTTACTGTAGGTGTATCCGTTTCACATATGAGTCCTAGATTTCAACATTTTGTTTTATTTTCATCTCTTGGTATTTTGCTACAGTGACTGAGGCTGTCCTGCAGGTGAACTCCAAGTAGCTTGGTGCTAATGGCTGAGGTGATTCACGTTATTGAAATTCCTCACAAACTGTGAATTAGGGTTTAGTAGCTGCAATCAGACATGTAGAGACACTTTTACTTCTTTTTATCCCTCTCTCTGCTTCCTTCAATTTTAACTGCACTTCAAAACAATTCTGAAATGTCAGGGTAATCCATGAAGAGTGGTTTCTATTCACAAAACAATATTTGGTGACTCCTTGCGCAGCTGCAATCTCTTCTCTTCCTTCTCCTCCCTCCAACTCACCAAGGTCAAATAATCCACCAGTGCTCATTCTCTGGGTTTACTCTTCCAGACTAGTCTGGGCTGCTGGAACTGTTTGAACCCTACACAAGATTGGAAGGAGAAGAGGAATTAATATTTCACACAGGACAAGCCAATGTGTGCACCTGCCCCACACTGACTTTCACAACTCCCTTTCTGATGTGATCACAGAAACAGAGCACTACTGGAGATGCCTGTAGGTTTTCCCATGAATGGTTATGTCCAGAGAGAAAAAGAATAAAAACAGTCTCTACTAAAATAATGTTGTGGCTTTGATTTGTGCAGGTATTAAAATGGGATGTGTCTAAAATTTTAAATGGGAGTTTGTCTGTAGTAGGACGACAGAGTCATAAAATAGTTGGTCAGTTTTCATTTCATGTTGCTGTATATACACCATTGGAGCATTTTGCCAACCTTTTTTAGAAATAAATGTGTATCATGTTTAAGGTGGTATGAATCATGTAACTGTGTCAAACTGTGTACGCACCAACACTGACTGGGCTCAGCACTCATTCAATTATTGCAGTCCCTGATTGAATAAATGCAAGCATCAGCATTGTCCAGTACAGCACAGTATGCCTGCAGAATGATAACTCCAGGGCTTTTGTATGAGGATGTTGATTTTATTTGGTGTTTCACTGAATAAAGTGTATTCGTGACTATGGTAATCAGAGGGGAGTGGATAGCGTATCAGCAGGATGCTGGCAGGTTTATACTATTTGGAATCAATACTTGTGTTTCAATTCAGTGTAAATCTGCTGTGTGTTGGATTTGATGCACTGTGGAGTTCCTTCTGTATAAACTACCACCACATTCCTTTTTTTTTTCTTGCAGTATTAAGTATCCAATTAAACGTTTCTCAAGAGTCCTGGTTCCCTTGAGTATCATTTTGAATTTTCATGTAATAAAATTTTCTATCATTCACCCAAAATCATCCTAATTGTGAACGTCTGTGTGTGAAACCGTGCAAGGTGTGCCCCCTAATTGCTTGGGCCAAAGTGTCTTGTTAGTTATAAAAACTCAGCGTAGTTCGGCTTTGATTTGACACTGGGTACGGAACGTGGCAGAGGCTCCAAGTTCACAGTTGGTCAATTGTAATTAATGTAGAACTTAGTTAGGACTGGTAGAAGTACCATCCTGCAGAAGAGATTATAACTGAAGCAGCTCAAAATTTGCCAACTAAATCAAGCTGGGAAGAATGGTAAACAGTGAAGATGATACAAATTACCTACAACAGGACATAGCCTAGCAGAATTGGCAGGCAATTGGCAGATAGAGTATGAACTGAAAAGTATGAAGTGATATATTTTTGGTAGAAGAGTTAGGTAGAGGGTATTTAGATTTAATACTCCAGTTCTGAAGAGTATGTAGGGTCAGAGGGACCTGCTAGTACATAGGGGAGGCGATGGCCTAGTGATATTATCACTGGACTGTTAATCAAGAGATCTAGTTAATGTTCTGGGGACCCAAATTTGAATCCCACCACAGCAGATGGTAGAATTTGAATTTGATAAAAGTCTGGAATTGAGTCTAATGATAACTGTGAATCCATTGTCAATTGTTGATAAAACCCGTCTGGTTCAGTGATGTCCTTTAGGAAGGAAATCTGCCACACTTAACTGGTCTGGACTACATGTGACTTCAGATCCACAGCACAGTGGTTGACTCTTAACTGCCCAGTGGGCAATATATTCTGACCTAGCTAGCGATGCCTTTATCCCATAAATGAATAAAAAACCATTTTCATCGATCATTGAAGATGGTGGGATGTACCAAGAGTTTGGTCAGGATAGCATGTGGGATCTTATGCTTCATAAATAACTGTACAATTGAGCACAAAAGCAGGGAGGTTATGCTTTATGAAAGTCTGGTTAGGCCCAGCTATAGTATTTCATCCAGTTAGGGTGAGCCCAGTTTCTGAGAGGGGTGGAGTGATAGAAATTAATGGGCTTTTTTGGCATGGCAAACTTGTAAGAATTAAAAGTGAGTGCTGGCAGATTGGGCCACAGTGCGTACTGCACATGAGAAACATTTTAAGATCTGAAATACAGGACAAACAAACTACAAGGGGAGGTTGGTAGCGTTGAGCTTGTCATTGGAGTTAAGGAGATGTGGAAAGATTGGTTTGAAGTGTAAGATTATGATAATTTTACACAGTCAAGGAAAAGCTGTTACCATTATTTGATGGTACAAAGGCTGGGGGATACTAAGTTAAGCTTTTGAGTGAGAGATATGAGGGAATTTATTTTCGGCTAGGAATGGTAATGGCAATGAATTTTCTGTCCATGATGATGGGTGGAAGTGGAGTCAAGCAGGAGAGTGGCACAGTTTGAATTGCTATACATGCAGATGTCCTGGACTGAATATCCATCTATGCTGAAAATTATTTATTTACTAGCTGTTTCTTGGACCTTGTTTTACACAATTGGCCATGAAGATCTTGTGTAGTAACCTTTAACGTGGCCCTTGATTAAATTCCTTCTGAAAATTCAAATCCAGCACAACCACAAGCTCAACTTTATCCAAGTCACTTGTTACTTCTTCAAAGTACTCTAATGATCCTGGTTACTTTAAGGTATGATGGTGATTGACTAAAATGGTGGACTGAGAGTAGTATGGATCTTGCAGCTGCACCTGAGATTCAGGCTTATTTCTAGATTTACTTCTAGACTGCTTAGTTGTTACAATGTTTAAAAGACATTTGGGTAAGTACATGAATAAGAAATGTTTGGAGGGATATGGGCCAAATGCAGTCGGGTGGGACTAGTTTAGTTTGGGATTATGGTTGGCGTGGACTGATTGGAGCAAAGGGTCTGTTTCCATGCTGTATGACTCTTAAGTCCATTGCAATGGCAATGATCCAGAACAGGAGGCTGGGTAAAGGTGGTGGAGTCGCTCTTGTTTCAGGTAGTGAGTTTAATGGCTCATGCACACTAAAGTGAAAGTACTATAACACATACGACAAGGACAAGTCAGCTTCAATAGCACATGCAAATGCATTTCTCCAAACATTTGTGAAATAACTCACCAGAGGCTAGTATCCTGTCACCAAGTCATGTTTCATTTACATGTGGAGAGTCCTTGGCAGTGATCCAGCTTCCTCCGAGTTGGCTCTCGGAGTGAACAGAACCTCTGATACCGCTATTTATACCTGTCAGCCAGGACTCCCTGATTGGGGCTGTTAACCTGGCGCAATCAGGGAAATCATTCCATGGGGTCCACCTGGCTGACCTCATTACAATCATTACATCCCTCCTCCTCCTGGGGCATTTTAGCACCGGGTCAGGTTCCTCCAACTCTGTACCTGATAAGGGTGACGTCTAACGCACAGTAGTTTGCCTCTTATTTCCAGAGCATCTTGAAAGAAATTCATTCTCCTCTTCAGGTGGCAAAGACATCAAGGTGGCAGTATCCGGCATGTCCATCTCAGATTCCGAGTTTTATTCGGTGTTTGATGGAGAGGCAGACCCCACGGGTTCCGGAGTGGTCAGAAAGGATGTTGAGAAGCCGGGCACGTTTCACTCCTGTACCATTTGTGAGTTTGCAGCTTTCAGCTTTCAAATGGTCCACCTGCTTGTTTGGGACCGTCGCATCTACCCAAACTTCGTATGTCATTTACGTAACATCCACTGTGCCTCTTACCCAGGTAGGGTCATTCCTGTGGTTCCTTCACCAAACTTCATCCCCTGAAGTAAACTGTGTCCCACACTTAGTGGAGTCCTGTGTCTGGCATTTGCTTCTCATGCTGTTTCACTGTTCCCCCTAAGGTCCAGGAAGATCAGGTTTAACCTGGTGTCTTCTCCCCTTTAGCAACTGTGCTGGAGCTATCCCTGTAGTTGCATGGGGTGTAGTCCTATTAATCAAATAGGATCTGGGACAGTTTGGTATCTAGTGAAGCTGTAGGCTGTTTCTTTAAGCCTGCCTGCAAAGTTTGGACTAGTCTTTCTGCCAGACCATTGGATGATGGATGGTATGGAGCTGCCTTATATGTTAAATACCAGTTGGCTTTAGGAAATACTCCAATTCGCTGCTAATAAACGATGGCCTGTTATCTATAGCCAACGCTTCTTGGAGTCTGTGTATTGCTAAAGATGCATGCTGTTTTTCTATCATCATCCCCAAGTTTTTCACATTCAGCCACAATGACTAACAACATTAAGCCCATGAAAGGACCTGCAGAGTCAATGTGTAACCGAGTCTAGGGTTTACTCAGCTATTCCCATGAATTTGGTGGAGCTGCTGGCAGTTTATGTCCTTGTTGGCACTCTGGGCACTACCCCATCAACATAGCTTTTTCTGCATCTAATCCTGGCCAACAATCATATCTTCTCACCAACATCTTCATTTTGGAAACCCCTAGATGTCCCCGGTGGAGTTCAGGCAGCAACCTTTGCTCGGGACAATCACTCTTGCTCCCCATAATAATATGCCGTCCTCTACTGTGATCTGATCTCTCCAGGCCCAAAAAGGTTTTAATTCTGGTTTCCCCCACCCCCATCAGCTGTTTGTTTTGGCAGGACTGGATCCTTCTGTGTCCAAAGCCTGATATTTTCAGCTATGACTGAGTGCGTCAAGAAAATTTAAAACCATTACAGACTCTTCCGGTGGTGGTGGTGGTACCCCCTGCTGGTGTATCTGCCAGTGAGAGTCGGCTCAGTGCATCGGCATTTGCTACTTGGCCTCCTGAATGGTGTTCCAACTTGTGATACTCACTGAAAACAAATGCTTCAGCACTGATAAAGAGTCATCAACTCAATGTTGGCTTGTTCTCTCACTATGGATGCTGTCTGACTTGCTGTTATCTTCAGCATTTGTTGTTTTCAGTACAGATTCCAGCGTGTGCAGTAATTTGCTCCTACCTTATAATGATACGTACATAGTTTTAGAGCCCACTGCTGAATTTGGCCTGAAGCTATGGGTGGCACCACTAATGTCCTTTTAAGTAGATGCAGCAGGGGTTTGTGGTTCATTAATATTACAAAATTACATCTGTAAAGATATTGTTGGAACTTTCTGTATGACCGCCAAACCTTCCTTCTCTGTCTGAGTGTATTTATGCTCTGCATTAGCCGAAGTCCTGGAAACATAGGCTATTGGGTGTTCCTCTCCATTGGGCTACCTGTGAGCTAACAGTACCCTGATGCCATACAGGGAGGTGTTGCATGTCAACACCAGCTCTCATCTGGAATCATAGTGTGCCAACACCTTGGAGGATGATAGCTGGTTCTTCACTTGCCTGAAGCTATGGTTTCGCTACACAACCATTTCCAAGGCTTTTTAACAGTTGATGCAAAGGTGCTGGGATGGAGGCCAGGTTATGTATGAACTGTCTGTAATAATATACCATCCCCAAGGTAAGACTTAAGCTCCAGTGCAGACATGAAAGCTGGGGCACCTTTGATCATCTTCACCTTGTCTTCTAACAGGTGTAACCCAGTCTTGTTGA